AGTAAAGATGTCTCACAGCTATGGTGCCTCCTGTAGGCAGATATGTATTCAGACAATATGTTCTGGTAAAAGTCGCCCATTTGAGCTGAAAGTAGCCTCTCAAAAACGTTATTGAGCGCAGGTAATACGGTCACTGGTCGATAATTGCTTTTGTTTAGTTCATCGTCCTTTTTAAATAAAGGAGTAACTTGACCTAATTTCAAGCGCGACGGATACTGTCCTGTCCTAATCGAGTGATTCATTATTGCAGCTATAGGACCAGCAATCGCGTTGGCAGACTCTTTTACCAGTCGCAGTGGTATTCCGTCATAACCACAGGATTTACGGGAGTTGATTTTGAGTAACAAAGCTTATATTCAATCCAGTCGTGCAAATGGGGCCCCATCCAGCGGCACATCCCCATTAGCCTCTTATACGGAGGTACCCCCCCTACCCCCACCCGACCTCGGGCTCAAAACAGTAGCACAGCAAATGCAAAAGGAGTCATGTCATGTGAGGACAAGCTTGAAGGGTTGAAACTGATGGCAACTGACTCGTGTTTCATTAGAAAACGAAGAATTTAATCCGAAGAATAACTCGCGATTGTATGACAATAATTTCATTCGATCAAAAATCAAATTGTACAAATATGTCCTATTTAATAAGTGTGATCAAATAATTGATACATGAAACTAGAAAAAGCGGAATAAATTCCGATAAAAGCTAAACGTTGATACAAGCGAAATCACGTGGTTCTTGAAACAAACTCAATTTAAGCTACTTTGACTCTGTTTAAAAGGTAACGAAAGAAAGACTAAACTAACAAAACAATGGTAACATGCAGTTCACTTACTCATCTGTGGCGCGTTTTCTAAAATGTCCTTGAATAGCTGGTAAACTGCTAACACTTTGATCCTTGAGTACGGCGGTCGGTAAAAAACGTATAAAAACTCGAACAAAGCGGGTACTTTTCCTACTTTTGCCAGCAAGATTAAATATAAAAATTCCTTGAATAGTTCTTTTACTACGTTAACACTGAGGTTTTAGAAAACTCAAATAGCCTAAAAGTTTTTCAAAATTCATTTTTTTTGCCCGTAAGTTTTCATATAATGTTTGGGGAACAAATGTGTTTGACATGAAGCAGTGATTTTGTAATTTGCAAGTGATTTCTTAACTTACGCTGAGTTCCATTAAGAATAAGGACATATTTGGCAATATTTTTAAAATGAACCAGCAAACCATGACGTCATAAACCATTTGTTCCGGTGAGAGCGTATTCCCTTTGTGAGCGAATTGTTTAAAACCGTTTAGGTCTGAAACAGGGAATGGTTTTGCGCCGTTTGGATACAGGGTCTGAAATTACATGTTCGTGCATGAGTTTTTGATATTTTTGTTGTTGCTATTGATTTAAATCATCCACCTTCAGGTCTGTGAATAGGCTAAGAAAAGTCGTACTCTACCGAAACAGGTGGAGAGCGAATTCCATAAATACGTGCACTTGAAATTTCCTTTTAAACGGATAGGGCAATTGGAGGGTAAAGTTTACTTCTGTTTTTGAAATAATTATAGCGTAAATTATAGCTGAAATTTCTACTCGTGCGGCTATTTATTACTAGGTGGCAGACGGTAACTCCGACTCGTAACACCCTCCTTTATCTGCATAATCGTTTCACATGATACAATAGTCGAATCAGAATCCAGCTTCTGGGTTGAGTAATCAGTATTGGGTTCCAGACCTCTTATTTTTCAGGGCAGGTTTTGCACGTGCGCAGTTGCATTAAAAGAATGACTGGTAAATCGTTCTTTTTGCGCTGTTGTTTAAGACCAGAATATTACAATTTTGGCAACGAGAGTGGCACTTGTCGGTCGAGTTGGAGGGTATGTGGACGGTAAAGAAGATATTGCAAGTTATATCGAAAGAGTAGAACTGTATTTTCCGGCGAATTATGTCAAGGCGGATTACAAAGTAGCTACGTTTATAGCGTTTATCGGATCAGATGCATATGGCGTGCTGCGAAATTTGTTAGCCCCTGAACGTCCAATATATAAGTCTTTTGTGCAATAGTATGAAAAGCTGACTGAACGATTTGGAAGCCCAGCTCTAATTTCAAAGTCACTGATCAATAAGTTCCTGGAGATATCAGCAGAGCAGGATGAAAACAATTTGACAACTCGTGCAACATTGTGAGAACATTCATGGAGCAAGCTTTAGACCAGCAACTAATATGCAGCAGATTGTTGCAAAGCTACCTCCAAAAATTGCAGTAATCTGAAGCAGGCAAAGTTAAAGCTACAGCCCAAAAAAGTTGACCTTAGCGACCTAGATGAGTGGCTGAAACCGAGAGTAAAGTCAAAGTGATAGCCTTTGGTTGCTCCAGTAATATAGAGAATCCTGAACAAGATATAGAAACCCAAGTCAAATTCAAATAAATCGAAGTGGCTCTGGAGAAAGAACATGCGAAGACTCACTCATGTAATGTTTTGTGAGCTAAGAAAAACATGTACTGACATTGTATGAAACGTGGAAGAATCAAATGCAAGTGAACGATGGTGATTATAAGAGAAGATGGGTTTGTGCTTTAGATGCCACAGTAGAGGACATCGTCGGCTGAGGCATTCCAATCCTCGCAAGAAGCCACAGGAGAGACGTCATCACCTGGAGTACCAACTAATCACACAAGCTGTTGAGGTTCTGAAGACTTGAACCGGTAAGTGTACCACGCTCTGAAAGGGTAGCGCTGCAGATGATACCCACCATATTGATGGTGGGTCTGGGTCGTCCTTCCTCAAGAGGAGATCGCTGATATACTGGGTTTGCACGTACTCTGTGTTGCTGCTTTTGGAGCGAAGTCGAATGTAACGGATAGCGAAACTGTAACTTTCCGCCAGCCTTGAGGGTATGAATGGGAGTAACAAGAAGCAATTATTTTTTGTGGAAATTTGTGAAATAAAAGCAATTGATTGGTCCGTCAATGCAAGGAATTAGATCATAACCGCGACTTGGAGATCATAAAGCCAGTTCAACATATGGAAGTTGATTGAGAAGTGATTATTATGAGGAACTCATTTTACCATTTGAATATCGCAAAGCACATCTGGGGGAGCCTGTAAGAGTAAGGAAAACCACTCGCATAGACAATAGTTGGAAATGTCTCGGATGAACCAAACAAGTGTCATGAGGCTTGCCATGTTTACACATTCCATGCGACCTTTACTCCAGAAATGAGGGCCGATGAGCTAATGCAGAAGACGTGGAACGAAGACGTTGTGGGAATTGCTGATCAAAACAAGTGCTTGACAGCTGAGGAGGTGCTTGCTGCGCGCAAAGAGGCACAATCAAGGCGTTATGCTGAGGGGCTATGAGGTGGCAATTCCATGGAAGGACGATGATACTCCGTTGTGTTCAAACAGAAAGACTGCTGAAGACCGACTTATCTCTTAAGAAACACCTTCAGCCAAGACTGGAGGTTGCTGAGGAATACTGCCAGGTGATAGAAGCCAAGGTATAAAAGAATGAATCCAAGGTTTACATCCGAATTACATCCAGTTGGTACCCACCTCATTTTCATGTAGTGAGAGAAGACAAAGAGACTACAAAAGTGAGGATGGTGTACTATTCAGTAACCATATAAGAAGGAATGAGCCATAATAGCATGTTACCTGGACCAAAGCTGAGCAAGATGTTTTTTTTTATGCGCTATTGCGTTTCAGCAGTTATTTTGTGGCCCTGGTAGCAGATCTGACGGAAATTTTCTCACAAGTTATCATGGCAAGGCAAGACGGAAGGTACCACCCCTTCCTGTGGGGGTGGAGGTTACACCTCTCTAGACTTCCAGAAGTCTATGAAGCAATGAGCTTGATGTTCGATGACCGCGCCTCACTTTATCTTGCCCAGTACGTTGTGCGACAACATGCAGAAGATAACAAAAATGACCACCCGCTAGCAATAGCCGTAATCCTATTACAGGTGTACGTGGATGACATTATGACTTCATTGAGCACTAACGATGAAGCGATTAAAGCTCGAGAAGAGCTTTAAGGAAGCCACTTGGCAAGGCAGGCTTCAAAATGGGGTCAGGGGGTAATAACAGGCCAGAACTACCTTGCATGAAAGCTTAAGGAAAGCAATAAGATGCTGAGAAGGATGTGTTTAACTTCAAGTTGAATCGCCTGCAGGATGTTGTCTATACCAGGCGAAGTTCGTAAAGAAATTTTCTATGCTTTTTTACCCATTACAGATGCTAGAGGAGGGATAGATATGCAGGGAATATGGTTACCGGGTTTAAAATAGGATGACCTAAAGTAGACGTATCAAGAATGGTTCAGTGAGTTACCAGAATTTTTCAGAGGACAGCTTTCAAGGTGCTATCGCATTGCTGAGAAAATTGTTGTTTACACATCTATTCATACAATGGTAGACGCGTCCCTGTTGGCATATGCAGATGTAACTTACGTTGGGCACAAATATGAAGATGCAGCTCGAGAAGAAGAAGGGAAGCAGGTTAGAGCTCTTGGCAAGAAAGAAAGATGTAAGAGTTGTTAGAGATTCCCTTCGAGAGCTGTACACTCTGAACAAAGATAGTAAGGGTGTCCTTTTCTGGATCCTGACTCAGAGGCCATGAGGGCGAGAGGAATAATTGTTTTAGTAAACTCCAACTAGTTGGTAAAAAAATATCGAGACAAAACAACTTTAGCTAGTTAAAGCAAGACTTTATTCGCTACTAGTGGGCTATAACATATAGCCTAGTAGTAGCTCAACCTATCAGAACGCAGCATTGGTAATAGACCACTAGTTGGATTTTAATAACAGATTTATCAGACACCTAATCCTAGACAGTGGAGACATATACAAGACTTTTAACGCCAACCGAGTATCAAAGATTCATCAGACGCTTAACCCCAGATAGTGAAGAGACTTACAAGACGTTTGGTACCAGATGAGTATTGGAAATTAATCAGACGTATACCTAGAACCTCAATAAATTGGCGTTTGATCCCAGGAGGCGTTGGATACTGATTCTTTACCTGCTAAAGCTGTTCTGGAGACACTGGAGAGAAGAGTTTCTGGCAACACGTAAACCGAAATGAAATGGAGGGAGGCGACGGACAACCCAAAAGTTGGGGATGTCGTGTTCGTTGTCGATCAAAATGCTCCAATCGGTCGGTGGTAGTTTTTCCGCATCAGGATGGACAGGTAAGCGTTGTGCAAGTGAGTATAAGGGGCCAGAAGCTTATCCACCCAATAACACGACTGTGTCCATTGAACGTCGCTGACCAACCATAGTCCTGAGGATCCGGAGCTCCTTGTAAGTTCTAGGTGATACCCCTGCGTAAGGGACTGTAACTAGTCAAGTAAAAAAAAGTTCCCTGAGCACACGGAAAATTGGCTGTTCTGTGTTCTTGTTTGAACCAGGCTTTTGAACAGAATTTCTCACGCCTGAGAAAATCCAAGTGGCGAGTTTCATACCACCATGTATCTTTCCAGATTTCTATATACCACAACTTCCAGGGGCTTTACCTTCCTTTACTGCGTTGATGGCATCCAACAGTTCCTTGAATTCATGTTTTTCCTCAAAGCATGCAATGTTTACGGGTCAGCAAATAGAACTATGCCAGCAAACGCGTCGACGAAACAGGTCAGCACGACATCAGTATATGCATTTCCGTGGAATAAATGCGCGTTTGCTGTATTTACGCCCACTCTTGGGTCTGCTCTAATGTTCCTCCCCGAGAAGGGACTTTTTGGGGGCTCATTTCCCAAACAGCGGTTGGTAGTCAAGCATAATTGCGAGTCAAAGTTATTCGAACTCAGGAGCTCTCAGAGGTTGAGCTTTTTTTATCAGCGAAACACCTGTAAAACAGATTACATTTAAGAGCGGCTTTCCGTAAATATTGACCCACGGTCGGCATAAGTTCAAAATTTGATTTCGCTCATTTTTGGCTCATCGATAACCCTTAATGAGTAATGAAACATGCTGTTGTTAGTTTTCCCAACTAAAGTGTTCTTTTGTTAAAATTCGAGAAAACTCATTTTGCCCGTTCGGAGCTCAAAATCCACTTCCGGTAAAGCGAAATTTTACACAAATTTCATTGACTCGTACGTCAAACCACCACGATTTGGCAGCCTCTGAAAAACATGAATAGTTTTTATGACCCTTTCTTTCTTATAACACGATAAATTTGAGAAAAATTTCACAATTTTGTGGCCGAAAAGGTATTGTTAAAAATAGGCCGTATTGACAATTTCTACCGTTTAAAATTATAGGGATAAAATAATGCAAATTTTTACAATGCGCTATTGCCGGTTTTCAGTGTCGCGCCATTCAAAATAGATCAAAATGGAAATCAAAACCGTTTAATAGATAAAGTCCAGAACCTGGGAAATGAAAGGAGGTACATATACAAAGACCCTCGCCAAAATTCAGGTCAGAGGAATATTTCGTATACGAGATATCCGAAGAAATGTTTTACCCGAACTAATAGAGATTTGTATGGAGACGCCATGCTGGTGCTCACTTGGATGAGCTCCAACATGTCGGACGGAAACCAACAGAAACATCTGTTACCGAGTTTGCTAAAAAAGCGTGAATTTATTCTTCGAGAAACTCATAAACATTAAAGTAATACTTTTTCTAATACATGAACTGTTTAAATAGCAAAATTTCCTGAAATAATAAATAAAATTTCCTTTCTTGGCCGTCATGTAAATGCCGCGTCACGCAAAAGCTTAGAAAGTCAAGCGTACTCTATCGCAAACCAAGAACCCTTTTGAAGCGTAAATTTGTATGAAGATTAGTTTTCAGCTGCTCTTATGCATCATAAAAGTAAAATCTCGGTAGGATCGATAGTTTTTTAGTTTGAATTTTAGTGACGTCATGAGAAAACCAACAATAACTTAAAATTTCGCAAATTGACTTTCTACGGCTTGACTAGGCCCTAATCTATCAGAAAATCGAAACAAAGCTCTGGGCAAACGATTTTAAGTAGCCCGCAAGACCTCGAGTTCAACCCTAATTTTGCGAAAAATCGCGACATTCCAGTGGTTAATAATAGCGTTATACGGCCCGTCACGCCAGTGTTACCGATATACGCTTTAAACAATTTAATATACCTTTTTACCGATACGGCGGCCATATTGAATTAACTCGATTAAAGGAGTATTATAGGATGCCCAGGGGGCATGAGCACATTTCGTTTGTATTTTTGAGCGCTTTTCGGGACATTTTTTCTTAAAGTTTTCTTAGAATAAGATTGTAATGAGAGAGAAGATCCTTGTGCCGTGTTTGGATGTAATGATGATCGCCTTTTTCTAGTTTAGTATTAGAAATATGGTCTTTCACTGTATATTTGTCGGGAAAAAGGTGATCATTATTACATCCAAACACGGCACAGGGATCCTTTTTCCCATATTTCCCATATTCCCAGTTTCAGACTGGGTACTTCCCTCAAAAAATGGTATATAAACAGCAAAAAAATCAAAAAAACTAAAACTGTTTACTGAACGAATTTTTGCATTGCGGAATATTTACAAATTAAATCACCGCCAAACAATGCCATTTGTTTTATAAAAATTAGTTTCCTTGAAGCAATAAATATTTTCGACTAAGTATTGGTGCAATTGTTCTTTTCGAAGTTTTTATCTTACGGGCTCTCAAAACCCGGGAAGTACTCTACAAATTTTTATACGGGGAGGCTACGCCCCGAGGTCCAACCCCTAACGCTTTAACATATCATTTTTCACGAAAAAGGTAGCCCTTTCGTATAACTTCTATTGACAAATGGTACCCCTTCAAAATACCTCTTTTAACTGTTGTAAATACATTGTTTTTTAAATGGGAATCAATCACAAAAATATAACGTTTTCCCGACTTTATAAAGCCATAAAATTCATCTGTTCGGCCCTTTCACAGACCGAAATGTCCGATTTCTCTACCCTTTCATATACTACAACGAGTAAAATCCCTACCCTTTCATATACCTGAAGCCCGAAAAAGGTACCCCTTGCGGGCGGAGCCTCCCCGTTTAGGCCATTATAGGGAGTACCCCCCTCTCCCGGATCTCAAAACTGAAAAAAAGCTACGTGGATGCCAAAGAGGAGCCTATATACTTGTATGACATCGTGTGTGAATCATGAAAGCTAATGCATGGTGCTTTGCCAGGCTTACCATTAACTCAGTTTCGGGTTGTTTTCGACGTTTCAGTGGAAAATTCTTGAAACAAACGGAACGTCTGTAAAGGCATTCGGCTATTTTCCTGTTGGAAAATTCCAGGCAGAAATTTGGATTTCATTTCTTCAAACCCATTTTCGAATATTAGTCTCAGGCTTTCGCGGCCGTTTTTCGTGTTAAACGAAACTGACTTAGGCAAATGGTAAACGCGATTACCCGGAGTGGAATCAAAATTCATCAGTCCTGAATTCTTTTCACCATTTGCCGAAACCGTGAAGCGACCGGTTTATCCATGTAAATAGTAGAAAAGCCTTGTGTCCAAAAGCCTGCGATACAGCTTCCTCTCATCGCAATCTATCTGCCGCTAGGGACGTTTCGTCAAAGAGCGGTGAGAGGCGGGTGCATCGCAGACTATGCGCCATCTATATTAAGTACCTTGAGGGGCCTTGTTAAGGGCATAGTAGATCTTAGCAATGGCAGGTCTTTGCAATATCTCTAATCACTTTTTAAGAGACACCAAAAGAAAACTCGCTATTCCTCTACCCCAAACAAAATAATGTTACAGCGGTTACAACTACCACGCGCGCTCAATTCAATGGGTTTTTTTTCTTCTTTTTGCTGGGGGGGGGGGGGGGGTTTCTTTTTGGTGGGGGGGGGGGGAGTGAGTGAGAGTGGGGAGAGAAGCGAAAAGCACGTCTAAAAATGCGATAGAAACTGACAAACAAAAAAATAAAAGAAGGAAATTAAGAGAGAAATTAAGAGAGAAAAAAATGACAGTTTCGCAGTCTAAAAGCAGTTGAAAAGTTAGTACTACCAAATCCGTTCCCGCTGATCAATAACAAGGCGCCAAAAGTGTTCGACACTCAAGTTGAATATATACTATAAAAAGTTGGAAATGAAGGAATGCACGTATTTAACCTGTAACAGGCCTTGAGATAGTTGGGGAAAAAGCAAAGAGCTGAGTGAGCTGGAAAAAATGGCGAAGGGGCGGGGTTAGGGAGAGAGGGCGAAAGATCCTCCTACTCTTTCCCTTTTACTCTCTTCCACGTTTGTTTTCCGCCATTCCCCATTTCGCGCCACTGTCCACTATCCACTGCCCACTACGCCTCGAACAGGCTAGTTCATAGTGGGCCAGAAAGTGTTTTCGAAGCCGATGCAAGGGATCTATAGATGTCCATAAGGGAGCATTTGAAATTTAAAAGGTCATACTCACGCTGCAACTATTCCTGTTTTCGCATGCCTAAAACACCACTTTTTTTCTATTTTCCGTTTTGCTGTAGAGGAAAGTTTTTCGCGATTTGTTTTTGATTATGGTGTTTCATCGTCGATCGAAACGAGTTAAAATATTTTCTGAGACGTTCGTTACAAAGTACCTTTATAAGCGTGGTCATAATAATTCAAAACGTACATGTAGACTTATACATAATTACTTAAAGGGGAAAACTCGCAAGAGAAAAGAATGTTCTAATTAGTTAATATTGGTTGTCCCCGTCTTAAATTTAAGTATTTATGCCTTTTGACTGATGCTTAAATCAATAAACCACACCACTGTACTTGTTTAAAGTCTGTTTTCCTTGGGCTCGGACGTCCACGTCTTGCGGGCGTCGCTCAAAAAAGCCGACTTCTGGGCAATTCTTCACTATATATTGTATCCAAACAAAATGACTCTTCTAAATAAGATAAGTGTATTGAAAGATGTAATATAGATTGTATGCTAGAATTTGGCGTGTCATCAACTT